TATTCATAAAAAAATCAATGTAAAAATCTATCACAAGTAAAATTTTCTTACAATTTAATTGTACAGTGAATAAATGGGTTCATTCTTAATTCTTGTAGGAGTTACAGTCTCTTCGGATAAAATATGCAGAGAAAGATTACGAATCTGGACATACAAACATATCAGCCAACTATACAGAGAGTGTTTTGCCGGGTAATCTTTAATATTCTCTACATCAATTTCTAATTCCGTGTATGTAAGTCATATTGGAATTTCTGTAGCAATATCTAGATGGAAGAAAAATAAATTTACAGTTTTTGTAAATTTCTTGAGGATTTTGTACAATTGAATAATAAAGGAGACGTCGATATGCAGGAAATAAAATTCTTCTTTTTTTTTTTTTTTTTTTTTTTTTTTACATCAATTCTTTGTTGTCTAGTACATGTTGGAATTGATAGTAGAAATATTTGAAAATAAATATCCTGCAAATAACATGTAGTTGTAAATTTCTTCAAACTTTTCCTAAATATTTTAACAATTTTAAAACACGGATTTCAGTGGAAAAGTTCATGTGTTATTTGTCCTATACAAAGGGAAGGAACAACTACTACAACGCTGTTCTTCTACAGGTCTGATATTTATAAGTATACCATGATAATGTCCTAAAGTGTAATGCTTTCCTAGTAACATGATTTAAAATTATGTCTTCCATATGCATTGAATGGCTGATCATAAAGATGAGACGAAAGATTTCTTACTTAAAGAGGGTAATGATTCCTCAATATGTGCTTCTTAAACGATAAATATAACGATTTTTGTACACATATAAAATAATTTTTAATTTTTAAATATTAAATCCAGCTTAATTTGTTCTCTGTGATTATGAACATGAATATACTCGTTATTAAAAAAGGATTTTTTTTCTAGTCTTTCACAGAAAATGACTGTCTAATCAGCGCTCAGTACCCACTTCCTGAATACACTGAAGACCTTTTGAGACTCATCAGAGATTTTGATGCTCGTGTTGTGGTTTTCCTAGGTCTTTTGAAAGAAATAAAATCTGTAGGATAAACATATCTGTAATTGAAAGATGTAGTAAGAAAATAATATATAAGTACTTTTGATTTAAGAGATAAGTTTAATTTTTGAGAATTCATGAGGACATGAACTACGACGCTTCAAGCCGGCATATTTCATGAAGCGCGTTAACTCTTCATGTTAAATATGCAGGCGTGAAGCATTGTAGTTCATGTACCTCATGAATTCTCAAAATTTAAATTTAAATTCATATCTTATGTTTTCATTATATTTCGGAAGACTTGACACAAATTTTCGTCATTCAACGATCATTTCTGAAAAAAAAAATGCACTTTTTTTACTCCAATCACATCACAATGGAAATACTCTTACTCATCCCATGGTAACTCATGAGAACATGAACTTTTTCTAATTTGCAAAGAATCTTATGAAAAATGTATGGAAATGTAAATATTTTGACATTAAAGTACAATAGATACAAAAGCTTAAGAAAACCTGTAAGTGATATCATTTCATCGAAAAACGGATTGCATGAAATCTCCTGACATTCTTGCTTAAAACATTCAAATAAAATTTGTTTCATTTTTTTCCAGTCATCCCTTTGGGTTCCATCAAAATCCGAAAATAAAACAGTGGGCAGTTTTGTACTTAATCTAACAACATCAACAAATTCGATAAATTTTACAACCCGGAATATAGTTTTGCAGCCAAAGGTTTGCTTGTTTTACATATCAGAGTTCTTTTTAACTTTGTATACGAAAGGCCATATGTTACATGAAACACAATTTCGTAGGGAGGCAGCGACATGACATTAACTGTAATGGAATGCAAGACATGGAAAGAAGGAAGATTTCTTACCGACAAAAGAGTGCTACTTGACGTGGTCAAAGAGGCAAAATCAGAGAAAGATAAGCAAGAGGGAAAAATACTTGTTTTGTCCAGGTACATCTCAGCTCTGTGTATCTTCGGGCAATTGTTTCATTATATTCTGATGAAAATCTATCCAAGATACGTGTATCAGTAATATTTTGACGTTATAGCAATAAATTCCAGCTTTGTTTTATTGACGTCAATATGCTAATCAGCTTGCACAGAGAAAGTCTTTATATTAAAGTAATTTTTAAAATACTTTTCAAACGCACATGAATTTCTTGTTAATAATTATTTTGATGTGTTTCATTACATTTATCTGCCAGTGATGGAGCCACACGTTGTGGAGCATTTGCTGTTGTCTATAACGCTCTGGAACAACTCGCAATGGATAAGGAAGTAGATATCTTCACCATCACACGCCAACTCCAGATCCGTAGACCAGAGTTTGTGTCTACTTTGGTTGGTGCTTTTACACTCTAATTACAATTGTCTTAAGCTTTCTATGCTAAGATATTCATTCTTAATCTTTCGAATGCGAAGTTCGATCTTGAAATGCTTGATAACTTTTTTTGATTTTGAATATGCATACCATTTATGGTTATCCCATTTTGAATAAAGAAAATTTTTACAACATGTAACATTTTATTTTCTGTTTTTAGGAGGAGTACCAGCTTTGTTATGATGTCGTTGCAGAATACATGCAGAATGACAGTGTTTACGCGAATTGTTAGACAAAGGGAGGAAACTTTTATAACCTAGCACATAATATCTTTTAACATTCAATGTTTTTTAATCATACGGTGAACCTTTGTAATTGATGTAAAAACTTTTGACCTACGAAAATCAAAAGAAAATAAATATATTCACTTATCTTTCGAGACTTTTTAATTAGTGATAAGCTTATTTGAACTGCTTTTTAATGAGTTTTGTTTTTATTCATTTTATTTATTTATTGTATCACTTTGTGTTTCGGAGTTTTGTTAAAATAACATTAATTTTGTGAAATATTTTTTTCAACGTTTTTGTCTTATTTCAATTTTTATTGTAATCTAATGTAAAAGTGTAATTTTTCAGTTTGTAATATCATTATTTTGATACATGTAACACATCATCTACCTTATATTTGTTGTGTAATGTAATCACTTCAAGATGGAATCTAACACCCATCATGAAATACCTAGGTGGCAATTAACAGAATGTGTTTATCCAGTCAAGCTTATTTTTGATACTAATTATCTGTTTCATGTTTATTGTTCAACTTGTAATTTTGTATCTGCCGTAGGTAAATAAAACATGTTTGGATAAATTTTGTTTCTATATTTTGGTTTTTTTTTTTTATGTTTTCTTTATAGTTTACTCAAGACAAATTTTCAAGTGAACTATTCAGTTAAACATTTATGCGTCTTCCATCTGTCTGTCTTTTGTAACTTTTAAGATTTTTGACTTCTCAAGAGACAATGAACAAACTTTTAGCAGATTTGCAGCAAAATATCCTTTGATGAAGGAAATTTAATTTTTTTGGATGTAAAATGAAAAGCCATCGCCTCTTCAGAGGAGAGATAAAACGAGTTTTGATGTATTACAAAACTTCCTCAAACTCCACTAGATCAGAAAAGGTAAAGTATGAGTGGAAGCCCCCTTACTGAGAGTAAATTTAAATTTGTTCAAACCAAGATCCCATAGCTAGAGTGAGGCAAGCTAGAGGAATGCAACTTTACATACAAATATTTATGGGGAAAAAAATTCAAGATCAACAGGGTCGTAATTAGTCATATAAAAATTATGAAATACTATTTCTCCTTCGCGTCTTCAAGAATATTAAATTTCTTCTGAGGTATTTTGCAGAGCTGTACTCTTCATAGCTTCACACACACTGTTGGCCATAGGCTCATGAATACGGGAAAACCAACTGTGACGTCACAGTTCACAGACCGTGAAATCGCATATTTTCGTGGGATCAAATTTTTATGTATTTTTTTCGGTATGAGAACATAATAATGGATCATGGCAATTTGATTTCGTGGTCAAGGCGTTGTCCAAGGGGTTGTCGCCCCGAATTCGTCCACGGCCACAAAATTAGAAAGTCTTCTATTACAAACAACAGGTATGTCATTCAAAACTTATCCCGATGCTGTAATCTTAGAGTTTGAAGTGCGCACAACCTTAGATTTCACAAGATAACTCATCCAAACAATGCCCATACACAATGGTCATGTATCAGCAAGTTTTCTGAAATTGTTTATTCTTCAATACGTCTTCAACTACCAAGTTCTTTTTTTTACAGAAGCCACTTAGAGACGATGCAAGGAAAAATCCTTTTAAGTTTCAAAGATTTCGAAGATTGGCTGAATAGTTAATGGGATAAATGACTTGAAAGAATTTTGACTTTTTCTCTGTTTCCATGGCAACGAAATCAATTTTGAAAACTTAAAATGTCGATTTCAAAATTAAAAATTGTACTTATATTTCTGTAAATTTTATTAAGGTAGTTCAAGCCATTTGCAAGAGCAATTGTGCACAAAATTATAGGTGCAATAGTAACAATATATTCAGAATCCCGTCTTGGTTCAGGGTGACATAATAATGCAAATACTTGTACATGAATACAGTAGCAAAGCACACATCCTATCGTTCACCTTATGTATAATGTATATAATATAACATCCAGCTTTGCAAAAAAAAAATTACAATAAACATTTCAACATGAAAATAGATTCTGTGGTATATCTAATAAATAAAGCGTATGCTTAGTAAGAAAAGGGATAGGAATTTGTAATAAAGGTATTTTGCAGTATTACTGTTATAATGTAACATTTTCATAACTTATGTTATTTTTTAATTCTTGATAACTTTGTTTTCCAGGCGGAGTTATTCCTCTTTCGTATCGGGTGTGCGCAGGACTTGAGGCATCTTTTAAAGCAACAGAAGTTGACTTTTTCTTTGGGCATCTCCTTCTCAAAATAAGAAAATTAAAAATTATTTTACTTTCCATAATTTCCTTATGTTGACGGTGATTGTAAAACAAATCACTATATTCATTTACCAAAAGAAAGAAATATCAAATCTTTGCAAACAATGAAATTCTTAATCCTAAACAATTAAATGCAGAATTACCTGAAGTGTTTAAAACCTGCTATGAGTACAAAACACAGATTCAGAACCACTGACAGGAGGAGTCCTAGAAACCAGATCAAAGGAATCGGAAGAACAGAATCTGTAGAATCTGTAGAATAAAATAAAATCCACTTAAGGAAATCAAGAATGAGTTTGTTATACCGACAAATATTACATGTATACAGTAGATTATAAAAAAGGACAAAAATCCTTCAATAAGCGCAATCCTTCAATAAGCGTAATAATGTACCAATAAGAATATGGATGATTTTTGTTTCAGTAAAAACATTGTTTTGACATTAATTTTTTTAAGGAAAGAGAGAGAAAGGGAATAATAAAATAGCATTTCTCTTTTGAGATCAACAAAGAATAATTAATTTTCTTAAACTGATATTTTCAAATTTAATCATAAACATTTTTTTTTCAGAATTACCTGTCCTTTGTGGACAGTTTCCTGTCATTTTTAAGCAGTTTGGCCCTGTGTATGGTTCTTGACATCCCCTTGGACAAGATCCGTTGTATCTTTCGCATGTGTCATTAAATCCACAGTGTAAACTGCACTCCTCGTTACAGTTTATTCCGTAATATCCAGGTGGACATTCTTGATTTTCAGAAAAAATGGAGGGGATTGCATTTGTAAGTGTATTTTGCTATTGTTATGTTAGATAAGTAATCATAGATTATGCAGTATAAATTATTAAGAAAACCATATTTATATATTCTAAATACCTTGGTTACAGTTAATGCCCATCCAACCAAAGGAACAAGTACAAGAGCCGTCAGTGTGTTGACATGTGTCGATGCATTTTGGAGAGCATTTCTGAGAACAATTTCTACCATAATATCCTCCTTTACACACTACATAATGAATGATTTAGACATATCTGTTTTAAAAAGAATAGTTTTTCAAAAAGCTTGCGTCGCCTGCGTGGCCCAGTGGTTAGAGCGTCTGCTCTACATCGCGGATTCGAATCCTACTGCAGGACGTGGAGACAGGTCCTTCGGATGAGACCGTATAAACCGAGTCCGGTGTCGCAGTAGGTGCTGGCACGAAAAAGATCCCTAACTGCTCAATGGCCCTGAGTGGCAAGTATAGGTCAAAATATTTAGCCCTCCACCGGCAAGTGGTGGCATCTCCATATGAGTGAAAAATTCTCGAAAGGGACGTTAAACAACAAACAATCAATCAATCAATCAAAAAGCTTGCCTGATTATAGCAATCGATATCTGTAGTACGTATAAGGTGACCAACGTTTTACTTCATTGCAGCGTTTGTGTCATATTGAATGAATAGAAAAAGGATTTTTTTTTTCTTGAAAAACTGTTTAATGAAGTTCATAGTTATTTTTTTATAGATGCAAGTTATGGAACATAAATGATATCAGAATCCTTAACCCCGTAGTGCCAAACATGTTTAGGTGCGAAACGCTCCAGGAAAAACTTCTCTGGGTGCGAAATGTTTCATTACCGTATATTTTGAAGACTTTCAATGAGTGGATTTTAACAGAACATCAGAATTCTTTTGAAATGTTACCTGTATCCGATCAATCACAAGTATGGAAAGTGAATTAAGTTCATAAGAACATGATTTTTTTTTCTGTGTCTCAAAATATATATCAGTACAGGAACAATAAGACTGGAATGTACGCATGTGGGTAATATTTGACAGAATTTAATAATGATGCTATATTGAAGATTGTTTAATGGCTTTAAATTAAGAATAAATTGAGTAAGTAAAACAAATGAATAAAATGAAATAGTACTGTAAAGCTTTGGCTGTGAAAAATTATATGGATGGGTTTTAATTGCATACAAGACCAGAATTGCCAAAATACTGCTGAAAATTTGAAAACCACATAATAATAAAAAACTACTAGTGTTTAAGGAAATGAATTTGTTTATGAAAACAATTGCAGTGAGTATTTTTTATGCGATCATGCATGGTAATTTAGCAAGTGCTGATTGTATTTGTTTGTTTGTTTGTATGTTGTTTAACGTCCCTCTCAAGAATTTTTCACTCATATGGAGACGCCACCACTTGCCGGTGGAGAGCTGCAAATTTTGGCCTATACTCGGCACTTACGGCCATTGAGCAGTGAGGGATCTTTTTCGTGCCAGCACTTACTGCGACACGAGACCTCGGTATATATGGTCTCATCCGAAGGACCGGTCTCCACGTCCCACAGTGGGATTCGAACCCGCGACGTAAGGATCAACTCCTTACGCCTCGACTCTAGAGCAGACGCTCTAACCACTGCGCCACGCGGGCGAGGATCGTATTTGTTAATGATATAATAGCTTATCAAACTTGTCCAAATTTAGGTAAAAACAATAAAAATAAAATAATTAGTTAAACTTTGCAAATTCATTATTATAGTTGCCCATATAATTGCCCATATAGGGTATCTTTTATGTCAAATGTGATAGATAAACATTCTAAGTCTCAGGATCAGGTTATAAAAAACAAATTTTTATATTCCAGGGAAGCCATCACATCCATGGAATAGAACATTCCAAGGAGAAGGTTCGAAAAATTACCCGTTTTATTTGGCTTGATTTATAGTTTGTATCCCCCTTTCATAGAAGACAAATTATCTGACCAAGTACATTGTAATATAGAAACACAGAAAAAAATATATGGAAATATATGTATAGGAAATTGCATGGAATAAAAAGTTGCATACTAAAAATAAATAAATATTTAAAAAAAAAAACACCAGAGGAAGTTAACATATCAATGTTTTGTATAAGAAATATGATTATTTTTTTGTGCTAACTATTGTTATTAAATATAAATAACAGAATCAGATGTAAATCTGCTTGCGCAACTTTTAGCTTGCTAGCTTTCATCTCATGATTTCCCTCCATGGAAAAATAAATCTTTCACCTGTCTGACGTTCGTGACGTCAGTTAATGAAACTACCAAAAAAAAATTCAAATGATTCTTAAAAGTTCTTAATCTTCAGTGATTTGTAAAAACATACATATTATCGTATCTTTTCCCTACATTTGTCACATCTGTCTCCTATGTACCCATCGTCACATCCGTCTGCGCAGACTCCGTCTACGTGGTTACATACCATGTCATTCAAACAATATGCACTACAGCGTTCCATACATCGGTTCCCGAAATACCCGGAAGGACACACTAACTCATGGAGAAGAAAAAATTTACAAGAAAAAAAAATTACATGCACATATTTTTATCTATATACATTTCTAATAAATCAGTTTTCCAGACCTCTTTTTTGCTATGCTTGTTGAAAATGGGTGAAGCTTTGGTATGCCTCTTGATACTGATAAATTGGAAATAAATTTCGAGTAAGTTGATCTTTACAAACTGTCTTACAGATCAATTTCGTGTTAATGGATACATTTTTACAAAAGCTTTGGTTTTTATACCTTGAAAACTTTTAATAATACACTATTTTCGGGACATTTTTTGTTATGCTTGTAGATACGGATTCAATTTACTAAATCATCAACAGTGAAATACTGGGGTTTTTTTTATTGAATAAAAGTGATACTCTGTAAAAGTATGAAAGAATATTAAAGTAAGAAAGTGAGAATACTCTCAAAATTCCTTCCATTGTGAAAATATCAAAAACTCCTGCCTCACTCATTACAGTAAAACTCGGTTATAACGAAGTCATTGGGACCTGTAAAATTACTTCGTTATATCCGTAATTCGTTATAAGTATCAGTATAAGGAATACACAAAATTTATAAAGCTTGGGTTCGAAGAAAACTTCGCTATATCCGTGAATTCGTTATATCCGTGTTCGTACTAAACGAGTTTTATTGTAAATAAATTCCTTACCCAACTTCAAAACATTGATAATCTTCTATTTATTGTACGGTACCTTTAATATTGATGACTTGCTGATCAAGTTTCATGATGATTAATTTTTTACAGAAATTTATCCCTTAGACTTTCAAAATTATTCATTTCTCATATTTTTATGCTAAGCTTGTAGATAATGCAGTTTGAATTAATTCCTTGTGGGACGACCTAGAGATCGAATAGGAGTTTCGTGTTAATTGACCGATTTTTACAAAAGTTATGGCCATTAAACTTTCTTATTATTCTAATTATTTCCACCTATTGTTATTTTCACGTGATTGAACTTTCAGATAGTTTGAACCTGCATATCAGCGGGGTATGCGGTCACCCTGACACATCTAATTTTTAATATTTCTTTGTGAACTTAATATATAAAAAAACTACTGCTGTGACGGGTGGAATCATTGTATCCCTCTTAGCATCCTTTAGAATTAAAAAAAAAATTCCTTACCGCTGTTACATAATAGATTAGTGTATCCTGCTTCACAACCTTCGTCACAGTGTCCAGTTTTTTTGTTACAGGGACCGTTATTCTGACAGTGACTACTGCATTTGAATTTACAATCCAAGCCATAATATCCATCTTTACACTCTGCTAACAAAGGAAGACCAATCAAAATACAAAAGTAATCTAAAGTATCACTACGTGTTCCTGATTCTCTTCAGTCTACAAACAAATAGATCTTGCAGATTACAGTTATAACTTAAATCAACACAAAAACTTATCCTACGTTTAAGTGTGAGTACTCTACTATCAGGCATTAAGAATTGAATTGAGGAAATGTACTGTATTTATTGGGATACTTGCATGTTAACAAACTAATGTTGCTCTTCTGTTCTTCAAAACGTTACATTATTATGGCAGAGTTGAAACATACAAATAAGACGAAATTCAGTCTGTGGAAATAATATCACCAATGTTGAAATACATATACATTGATTGCTACGTACGTTTATTACAATATATTCCTTTCCATCCCTCAGCACATCCATTGTCACATTGACCAGTCACGTGGTTGCAAAAAGCATTGTTTCTGCAGTGTCCAAAGCACCTTAATTTGCATTCAAGACCATACCATCCACCTTGGCAAACTATGCAATCAAAATTTAATTCCAATCAATTCAACAGATTTAAATTCAAAACAAAAATTCTAAAGTCTTCAATCAGATTTACTAAAATGGATGAAACTGATTAATTTCATTTCAATGTACAGTCAAGCCTCATTAATCCGAATACTTGATTTCCCAAGCAAATCCTCGGGATTAATGAAGCATCCAGATTACCGAAACGGAACTTTAATTGTTATATATATATACGTAAAATTCTTATGCCAATAAATATTGTCCCAAGGGAAAACGTCCAGATTAGAGCCGTCCGGATTCTTGAGGCTCGACTGTAATCATGATCTAGTACTGTTTTCACAAAATCGCCCACTCCACCCTGGTAAACACCCAAGACAAGTTCCATTGACGATGTCACATCTCTGTTCTTGACAGTTCTTCGGACATGCTACATTACAGTTTTCTCCATATACACCAGCTTCACTACAGCCTTTTTAATTTGTATAGTTTAAAGACATTGAGATGTATAAGAAACAAATAGTGTTTCTTGATTTTGCTTCTATGTGTAAATAAATTTTAACCCATTTATCATTAACGTATGGTTCGTACATCTATGATATGTGAACTGAATAACTATTGACTCTTAATGATCTTGTCACCTTGACTGACCATCATAAAACTTCTTTCCACAAATAAATGAAATTAAACGAAAATGAAAATCCATTTACCATTTACTATAACTTCGCACAATTCAGTGATTGTTGTCGTTTTTTTTTTTTTTTTTTGTTTGTTTGTTTGGGGTTTTTTTTATTTATTTTATTTTTTGGTTTTTGGTTTTAAAAAAATGTCTATGATAACCAAACTTTGTATGTCAGAAAAACCTGGATAATAATGAATATTTATTTAAGCAGAAATGAAACAAAAAAAATTGAGTTGAAATGGACCTCTTTTCATAAAATCAGCTGGTAATTGGATTGATAAATTGCAAAATGACACATGAAGAAAATCTTATGGTCAAATTAAGAGTTATGGGTAATAAGCACAGTTGATGATTAAAATTCATCATATAAAGGTATATTTTTGACTATCAAGTATGTATATTTTTTTTTACAAAGGTTCCCGTTAAGGTAAAGGGTATAACTGTTGGTAGACATATGATACAAAATTATAAAGAGTGTATTCTCATTATCTTGAAATAATTACATAATTGGCCAAGTTTCTGGCATTGCAAACTGTCGGTTTTTGTCAATGATGACATGGCATTTTACTCTTTTCTGTGAGCCAAGAAAATTGTAATTGTACTGTTGTATACAATGTACAAATGTACATGTATCTTATAGTATCGCAATAATAAATTAATTATAAATATTATGCTGCATCTTTAGTGACACTTCTTGAAAATGATGGAACATTGTTTTACTTAAGATAAAAAATAATTTATATATTATATAACAAGAAGTCTGTGAGCCAATGCTAACAAGTAATATCATCCGCTCTGATGTGAATATACGCTCTCATGAGATATACACAAGTTATGTTTAAGAAATTTTGTACTTATTATGATTTTTGTTTTCATTTAAGATTCATTTTTAATCAACATTAAAATTTATTCAGGAAGTCAATGTCCACAGTATCGAAACATAAGAACATAAGCATCCTTATAAAACATACTGTCTATATTTTTAATTACATCATCATATGATATGTACTAACAATATAAATCCATTATGGAATCATTCACATTGATCAAAAATTCTCGAGAGGGACGTTAAACAACATACAAACAAACATTGATCAAAAGGTTCTATTACAAATTTTTTTGACATTTGGTACGAACAAACGCAAATATAAACAGGAAGTTGACATCGGATTCGTACAAAAATGAATCCCATCAAATGCATTGCCTAGACAAAAAGTGCGCCAAAATTTCAAGCATCAGCGAAGAGTACCGTTGATGCTGAGAACATAGACACGGAAATTTGGTACAGACATACGCACTGACAAAGTTGATATCGAATTCGTACAGAAATAAATACCATCATATGACCTTTGAAAGCAAAGATTATCCTAAAATTTCAAGCATCTGCAAAGAGTAGATTCTGAGAAATCTTCGATTAGAATTTATTACAGACAGACAGAAACAATATGGTAAAACACAGTATACCCCCACCTCCCCTCTTCTTTGGAGCGGGGGTATAATTATGTATTATATTGTTCCATTTGTCCAAAATAATGGACTTAATTGGTTATCAATGTTTCAACAACGATAACACTATATCAATCCTATCATTCTTAATTCTTATGGGTATATGTACCTCTACAGATAGTTGGGAAATACTAAATACCATAAAATCAAAATTGGCATGATTATTTTGCATAGGATGGCGTCGTTTCACATTGTTCATTAATGAAAAGTGAAGATAAGGAACAACAATCATGCTCAAATTCAAATCAAAGAATATAAATTTTGAGTAGAGCAAACAGGGCTTCTGACAACAGCGAAGGGATCGGGTGCCATGGAGGAGTCAGCATCTCTTGTCAACCGGCCACACCTGCTGTGTTCTCTTTATCATGATCGGGTAAACGGAAAAATCCGTAGAGAATTCAGTATGAGAATTATGGCCTAACAATTCGTATATATGAAAGACTTCATCAGTCAAGATTAGATTTAACGATAGATTATAACTGCATGTAAGGTCATTGTATCGATTTGCGAAATTTTGACTTTAAACGAAATTCTTGATATCCATGTATCATCAACTTACTTGTAAATAGCATGCTTTTTAAGAATTTTATCGTACAAATGTACGTAGAACATGCTCTTATGTATTGAATCAACTGGGAGAGTTGATAATGGTATATTGCAAAATAAATAACGGAAGTTGACAATAGAAAAGTTGAAGTCATCACGTTTATCATTAAGTTTAATTTTAAGTTTTCAATCAATGTCTTGTTTAATAAAAACATCCAAATATGAAACAGGTCCAGTCTCTGTGGAGTCTTTAATATTTCCCCGTTAATTTGTTACATTTGGTCTGTAATTCATGGTTTAAAGCTAAACAAATATATCTAATTCAAATTTCTAATTCTAGATTTTAAAATTTACCGGGTAGCAGTCAGTACAAATATTACTATTTAGTTATCATATTGTAAATTTTACACTTACTGTCATCCGCTTAGTTTCGGTAGACAATAACATACATATTCTGTAGAATTTAATTATATATGTAAAAAGTTTCCTGATCTTTCTTATATTTGAAAAGTTATATAATAATAGGTTTACAGATAATGCGCAATAATATGCAAAAGGTTCGGTTAACACTTTATTTCTTATTATTTTACAAGGAATGATTTTCAGATTGCTTAGTTAATGAAAGACATTTTGAGGACGATTTCATGTTATAAAAGTTGTACAAAATAACGTAAGATTTAATTCCAGAGCAAACACTTTTGATACTTATGCGTTTAAGTAAAAAAGAGTCAGAGCATCAGATCAGTCGGAAGACAAACCCCAATCAGTTTCGTTCATTTTGTTTTATCCCACCCTTTTTTGATGGTACGCATATCAGTGCCTGCTCTATGGTATGTTTAATTTAAGGCGGTTAGTTTGCATAATATGATGTCAAAGATTTTTGTGTTCTTAGACTTTTTTCTAGTCTCTTCTGACCCCTTTACTATGTGTTTTTTTGTTTTCGTCATTTACTTAAATAAATGACATTTTTCACTTTCAATACTGCTGTTATTTTCTTTAATCCATCAAAAAACTAGCTCAGTTGACTTGGCCTCGGACTTGTAACAATAACAAAGGAACATAAATATGTTTTTCCTAAAAAAAAAAGTTCTTTAATTATTATCAGCAACATTATGCATATATTCCATATCTTTTCATCTTAATTGAAATAAATGAAAAAAAAGATGCATTTGGAATGAAAATGTAAGATGTTATATATTTTTGCAAATAAGTTTTAATAGCCACTTTCATCATACTTAATATAAGTACATCTTGTTAAGGAGCTTCTGCGATTTTTGAATTATCGCTATATGAATGGCTATATCAAAATTGTGCCAGGTGGAATTTGATTATCCTCTCCTATTGCCCATTTTTTAAATAAAAATTACTGCACTATGTAGTGTAAACATTTCTTTTTTAAATCACATTTTTATTTTTATTTTTTTAAATATTAATTTTTTTTAATATTATTTTTTTTAAATATTTTTTTTTTATTTTGTCTCATATAGAGCACTGGATTTTCTTCATGATAAATGGTTGTTTCAGGACTCGATTAAAGACATATTGTAAAATGGCTTATTTTTATTAGGGTTTAATTTTCTTTTCCCATTTTCGTGGCATGAAGAGACCCATGAATTCATGCCCTCTAGAAAGTGAAAACTTTTGAATATATAACAACCCCGCACTTCTTCGAACCCCCCCCCCCACACACACACACACACACACACAAATACCTTTAAAAATTCAACTCCTCGAAAATATGTTGATTTCTTTCAAATTGTGGAAGTAACTTTTGAAATGAAAAATAAATATAGGGCATTAATGAGTTTAGTTTTGATTAGATATCTGATAACTGTTTGCTCCCATTCAAAATCAACCCGTAATGCATTTAATATTTAGAGATACTCACCGTATCCGTAGGAGTTTGCTACTGAGTACAGGACGAATATTATTTTGAAGAAGAAAAACTTATCTCCGTTACAAGCCATGCTATTCTAACACTATAATGTATCACAAATATTGCAGTACATTATATACAATGAAATGAAATTACTAATATTGAATAACAGGAAATTCTTGATAATTTACTTAGCGGTAAAGAATGTGTCTACTCCTCCTAGGCTTTCACTAACTACATGAAATTTATGGAAATAAAGAACAGTATTCATGCTCAAAACTCCATTATAAACAAAAAAATCAGGAGTAGAGAAAACTCTGACCTTTAAAACATCAGAGGTGGGATCAGGTGCGAAGGAGGTGTGAGCATCCCTGCCGACCGGTCACACCCGCTGTCTTTATCTTGAAATAAGGGAAAAAACCGTCGACAAATTCAGTCTGTAAATGATGGCCTAACAATTAGTATGAAAAATGTAAGTCAGCATTTGACTTAATGATAGATTTTATTTGCTGACAAGGTCATTGTATCGACTATAGAACTTACGAAATGATGACTCTAAACGAGATTGTTGATATTCTTGTTTCATCAACTTGTTTTCTCAATAACCTACTTCGTTTTAGAAATTGGTCATATGTAGAACATGCTCTTGCGTAACGAAAAAAAAAAAGAAAAAAAAGAGTGAAGAAAAAATTGTCATGAACTCCACTTAAAATAAAGATTAATGACGCTGAACGAAGAAATTTATAACTAGGGACTGAAGAAAAAAACTTTGTTCTGTTTCTGCCTTAGGGACCATATGAAAACAAAATTTGCTAATGTTAAAATCAATGTAAAGGACTTTTTGCTTTTACATTGAGCAAGATGGTCCAATGACTCTTTATTAAGTATAATTTAATCATTCAGAACAATTTAAATCTTCAATTGGCCTGTTACCATAGAAACAGACGAAAAAGTTAAAGATTTTGTGGCGTGGAAAAAACTTAATACACTTTTACTGGAATGGTTATCAGTAACGCCATTTTAATTTTTCAAAATTTCAAAATGGCTTCGACGAACCGAAAATTGAAACAGCTGGAAAAAGTCTGTGGTTCAGCAACCAGAACAAAAACGAGGCGACTCGAAGATTGAAAAAAAAGATACCACAGAGTCTGACACATCTCTTTCATATTTGGATTTTAATTTGAAAAAGACGTTAATGGTAACCTAACAACAAAGCGTTATGATAAACATGATGACTTCAACTTTTCAATCGTCAACTTCCCTTACTTGCATAACAACATACCCTTATCACCTGCATATGGAGTTTATGTCTCTCAGTTGATTCGATGCACAAGAGCATGCTATACGTATGAACAATTTCTAGAACGAGACAAGCTATTGACAAACAAGTTGATGAAACAAGGATATCAACAGTCTCGTTTAAAGTAATCATTTTTCAAGTTTTATGGTCGATACATTGACCTTGTCAGCAAATACAATATATCATTGATTCAAATACTGACTTACATTTCTCATACTAATTGTTATGCCATTATTTACAATGTACACACTTAATTGTCTACCATTTTTTACCGTTTTTTCCCTATCATGACAAAGAGCACACGGCGGCTGTGACCGGTCGGCAGGGGATGTTCACTCCTCTATGACAACAGATCCCACTTTAGTGTTTTTAAAGGTTTGTTTGCTGTTTGCTCTGCTCCAAATTTGTATTGTTTCACGTACGTTGAGATTGGTTACTGTTCGTTATCTTCATATTTCATTTCAAGTCTCCAATTTCTTTATTCTTCATTTTAATTGCGTTATTTGCAATGGAGCAGATTTTAAAATAAATACAATAAAATAGATTTTAAATAATTACCTCTTGTAGATATGATTTTACTCAGAATTATTGAATTTGAGATACCGTGTCAAATTATGTTCGTCTTAAGCTTTCCTATCAAAAAAGTCATTCTTAATCTTTCGAATGCATAGTTCCTTCATTTACTCCTTAATAACAACATTTGATTAGGAATATGCATATCATTTATGGTGATCCCATAGTTATAACGACAATTAACAGACCTAACACTTTGTTTTCTGTTTTAGAAGGAATACCAGCCTTGTTATGATGCCTGAATACATGCAGAATTACAGATGGCAGCGTGTAAGCAAATTTTTATACAAAGGAAAGGAAGTTCTAATACTTGACACAGATCTTTCAGTTCATTTAAATAAACAGCATACCTATTTAATTAATGTAAAATAGGAAATCAAAAAGCTTGTTAATTTTTATATTAAAAATTTATGCCAAAGATTTATAGACTTTTTATTCTTGATTAGTTTAGCTGAAATGGTTTATGATTTTGTATAGTTTTAGATTTTTAGATTCTGTTTCTATATCATATTGCATCGCTTTGTTTTACAAATATTTAAATAACATTAATTTTGTAATTTTTTATGCATTTGACATCTATATGTTTTTTTCTTCATGGATCGACAAGGTGAAGATAAAGAACATTGATCGATCTCATAAAAATCTATAATAAATACAAATTTGTGAGCAGGGCATCAAATACCGACCCCTGGAAATTCCAGAGGTTGGATCAGGTGCCTCAGGAGGAGTAAGCATTCCCTGTTAACCGGTCACTTTCACCGACAGCCCTATGTATAGATCAGGTAAAAGGAACATTCCGTAGTAAAATTCAGTATAAAAACCAAAGGTCTAACAATTTATATGAAACACATCGGCCGACATACGACCCAATGACAGATTATATTTGCTAGCAAGGTCATCATAACGACCATAGAATTTACGAAATGCTAACTCTAAAAAACGTTGTTGGAACTCCTGTAACATCAACTTATCTGTCAGTAGTCTGCCTCAGTTTAAAAACAGATCGTACTCGGAACATGTTCGTAAGTATCGAAAAAGTTGGGAAATGTAAACACCATATGCAGGCGATAGTGAGATATTACTACATAAATAAGGAAAGTTGAAGATGGAAAAGCTGAAGTTATCCTGTTTGTCATACAATTTAGTTGTTAAGTTTGCCTTTATCGTCTAAAATCAGTAAAACATCGAAATATGAAACAGCTGCGGTAGACTCTGTGGTGTCTTTTATCTCCAGTTCACAGGGATATGTCAAGTCGATATATGAATCGAAGTAACTATTGTTAATTGATAATCCGTCGTCGATATATATAAATGTCGAGATTAAAGCTACAGCAAGTGTTTTCCTCTTCTACTACAACAGTTTATTGGAAGACTTGTATCCAAAGGCTACATAAAAGTTGTCACTGAGGAACTCCAGCATCCTTTTAATATCAACTTCAGAGTACTTATTTGTAGAATCAGCGTGATTTTTAACAAAGTAATATTGTAGATGACCAATAACAATTAAATTGCGGAAATTTTCGACAATTATTTTTATTGAAGACGCAGATGTCTATAACATCCAAAAGCCTACTTCTTAATTTAGTCGCCCGCATGGCGCAGTGGTTAGAGCGTCTGCTCTAGAGTCGCGGAGTAAGGAGTTGATCCTTACGTCGCGGGTTCGAATCCCACAGTGGGACGCGGAGACCAGTCCTTCGGATGAGACCGTATAAACCGAGGTCCCGTGTCGCAGAAGTTGCTGGCACGATAAAGATCCCTCACTGCTCCATGGCCGTAAGTGCCGAGCATAGGACAAAATTTGCAGCTCTCCACCGGCAAGTGGTGGCGTCTCCATATGAGTGAAAAATTCTCGATAGGGACGTTAAACAACAAACAAACAAACTTCTTAACTTATCTTGAAGAACGGTTGTTTAAAATGTAGAAAAACCATACGTCTTGATATTACTGACTTCTGAAAAATTTGGCGATTTCAAATTTTCTTAGGTTCTTTGGAGTTTTTGAGAATCCATATCTGATTAACACCACCATTAGAATATGCTGTAGGACAGTACGTCTGAAGTTTCTCTTTTACTGCAGGTAATATTTTTAGGTCACCTGAATCACTTAGGTGACCTATTGCTATCCGTTTTCATCCGTCGGCGTGCGTCGTGCGTTAACATTTGATTATTTTTAGCATCTTCTCTGAAACCGCTTAACCAATTTCAACCAAATTCGGCATATAGCATCTATGGGAGACGGGGGACAAATGTTGTGAATTTCATGGTCCCTCCCCCCCCCCCGGGGGCCTGAGGGGTGGAGCTAAAACCAGCAAAATTAACTTCAAGCAGTCAAACTGTTGGCATGATTGTAATAAGCATTGAATCCTCTACTAAAATTGTGAAATTCATGGCCCAAGGGTCAGGGGTTCTGGTGCTAGGGTGGGGCTATATAGATCATATAGTGAAATTGCATTATTTCTTTAAAAATCTTCTTCTCTGCTCCTGGGAATTCAAAAAACTAACTAAGTACATAGTTATGGTGAGCATGGCAGCCTTTTCAGAAATTGTGAATTTCAATGCCCCTCTGTCAGGGGTTCTGGTGTTAGGGCGGGGCTCTATTAATTATATAGTGAAAATGCATTAATTATTTGAAAGTCTTTTCTCTGCTCCTTGGTATTAAATAAACTAACTTAGTGCATAGTTATGATATGCAAGAGTGCCTCTTCCAAAATTGTGAATTTCATTGCCCCTGGGTCAGGGGTTTTGGTGTTAGGGCAGGCTCTATTGATCATGTGGTAAAATTGCATTAATTCTTTGAAAATCATCTTCTTTGCTCCTATGCATTAAATAAACTAAGTACATAGTTATGATGAACAAGTGTGCCTCTTCCAAAATTGTAAATTTCTTGGCCCCTGGGTCTGGTGTTAGGGTGGGGCTCTATTGACTATATAGTGAAAATGCATTAATTCTTTGAAAATTTTCTTCTCTGCTACTGGATATTAAATAAAGTAACTAAATACATAGTTATGATATGCAAGAGTGCCTTTTCCAAAATTGTGAATTTTATGGCTCCAGGGTCAGGGGTTCTGGTGTTAAGGTGGGGCTCAATTGAATATATAGTGAAAAATACATTAAATTCATTGAAAATTTTCTCTGCTCTTGGGTATCAAATAAACTAAGAACATTGTTATGGTGAGCATGGCTGCCTTTTCAGAAATTGTGAATATTTTATAATCCCTG